CCAGCTTTTCCAGCCCTCCCCCCTCCGGCCGGCCGGCCCCGCCTCCGAGCTGTGCGCAGGCGCAGTCCTGCCGGCCCGCCCCAGATTTCCGCTCCCGACGCGGTGAGGAACCTCCCGCCAGGGTCTCCGACCGGAAGTCGAGAGGAGGGGCCTGGTGCCGCGGGCGCCCGGGTGCCGGAAGTTGTGCTCCCAGTGGATGGGGTGGTTCTTTCTCTACTTCCCGGTGGCCGTGCTTCCAATTTTGAGACTCCGGCGGCCTGTTTCTTACCCCTGCTTCTCCCGGAAGCTTCCGGGATGTCAGCGATTCCTGCGGAGGAGAGCGACCAGCTGCTGATCCGGCCCCTGTAAGGGACCAGCGAGGGAGGGAGTGAAGCCGCAGGCTACGCGAGAGGCTGGGGGACACCGAGCAGGCCCGGCTCCCGCGCGCCTTTACAGCCTGCCTGGGGTCCGCAGTTGTCGGCCAGGCCTCAAGCTCAGGGATTTGCAGAACCGTTCATCCGAGGGGTCCTGCTAGGTTGAATGGGCGTTTGTTTTTGCTTTAGTTCAGGGGAGGGTATGTTGTGGGAGGAAAAAGTTATTTGGGCCCAGTGGGCTTGTTAATTAACCCAGACCTGGATCTCTGCGTGCGCATCTGGGCAAGCCACGGGGGAACCGGTGATGCCGAGGACCGTCGGGAGAGGAGCAGCAGGCTAAAGTCCGTACCAGTACGAGTGAGAATGACATCTGCTTGTTACGCCCAAGATTTGACATATGCCAGGATGTGAAAGAAAGAAAATGAGTTAGGAGCTGGGTATGGGTTTTGATCTTCAAAGCGCAAACCCTAGCAGAATAAGCAAGCAGGGAGGTGGGAGAAGAGAAATAGCAGGGGTGTTGAAGACAAAAAAACTCAGTCCTCGGTTGTCCATGAGCCAATTGGTCGTTGGACATTCTGGTGGCTGCTTAGAAAGGGGGAGATGAGTGTGGAGCTCTTCCTCTTATGGCTAAGGATTACCTGGCACCACGTGAATATGCACATTTTCAAAAGGGCAGATGTGTTCCTTACACCCTTACACACGCATTCAGTAGGGCATTGCTGAGTTCCTACTAGTGACATAACCCAAGTTGTCCTCTGTACTTCACACCTCTCCTTTCTTCCTGTGTTCAGTAAACACCCGAGCAAGCTGCAAACACTGCACTTGGCGTGGGATCCAAGTAAGACAGGGCTGAGTTGACGTCACCCTTTTAGAGTAACTTGCAGTATGAAGTGAATGTACTGGAGAGGGGGTTTGAAGCAGGAGATTATTGCTTTGGAATCAGACCTGAAATGCAGCCCCCTCTACCACTGACTAGGTTAGCACCCTTGCCAAGCTCGCTTCCTTGCTTCCTCGCTTCCTCGCTTCCTCGTATGGAGGGAGTAAAGATCATTGTAGGTACTCGCTAAGTGACAGCAGAGGTGAGAGCGCAGGTCGGCATGGCACTGAGGGCTGAGAGGGAATGGGAAAGGGATTATTTTTTAAGTTTTTTAAATTTGTTTTTGTTTTTTTGTTTGTTTTTGCCATAAGGTACATGCAGTTACTGGAGAGAGACAGTGGGAAAGAGAAATCACCTCCCGGGGGGATGGCCACACAGCAGTCCCTTCTCCTCCATTCTCCTCTCAAGATTTTGGGCATGCACATGTGCGCCTAACATGAATTTCAAGCCTCCAGATCTGGGACTTGAATCTGGGAGTCCAGCACCTTAACTGCTACATCTCCTGCTGATCCCGGAAAAGGGATTTTTAACAGACTGAGGAGATGAGAAGGGTCTCTCATACATCCTGGAAGTCGTGATACTCGAGCTGAATTCTAAAGAATGAGTAGGAGTTAAAGCCTGTGAGAGCCAGAACCTTCCAAGCACAGGAAGTGAGACCTTTAAAAACGAGAGTAGTCCCAACTGGGGCCAGTTTCCTCGTGGCTGTGGGTAAGTGGTTAGTAGGTGAGGTGAGAGAGGCTATCGGGTTCTAGTTTTTGAAGGACCAATATTTATATTACGGAGCTTGGGGCTTCATCGTTCTCGGAGACAACAAAGGATTTTAAGCAGGGCGGGATACAGTGGGAGTTGCGTTCTAGGATGACCACTCCTAGCAGCAATGTAGCAGATGAAGGCAAAGGATGGATTAAGAGATTTGGCAGGATATAACTGAAATAATCCAAGTCCAATTATTGAGAGCCTGTGAGTAAAATGAGTGGCAGTGGTTGGGAAGAATAGGAAATGAAATCTTTAGGATTGTATTAGGTCGTCTGCAAAGTCATGATTTCTGTGTTTTTCTATGCAAAAATGCATTATGACTTTGCCAGCAACCCAGTATAACCGTTAGATGTATCTGAAGGGCTGGTTACGGGAGGTGGGGGCAGGGCGGCAAGGAGAACGAGGGGGCTCCGATGCCTGGGTTGGGCAGCTGGTAGGAGTTCAGTTATCAGTGAAGGAGCTTAGGAGGTGGGACAGATGGGGAGTAAATGCAGAGCTGTTATGTAACAGCTTATTGAGATTTAATTCATGTGCCATATAACTCACTTAAGTATGCAGTTCACTGATTTTAATATATTCACCAGTTATACAACCATTATCACTATCTTCTAGAACATTTTTATCACTCCAAAAAGAAATCTGGTACCCATTAGCAGTCCCACTCATTCCCTCCAACCTCCCCAGCCTAGGCAACCACTGATAGATGTTCTTGTCTGTAGATTTGCCTATTCTGGACATTTCTTATACATGGGATCATATAACATGTAGTTTTGTTTTGTTTTGTTTTTAAGAGGAAGATTTTTGCTATAGGGCACATTTGCTTACCAGAGGGACAGAAAGCAAGAAATCACCCCCCCCAGGGGGGATGGCCACATCGGCCACATCACAATTCTTTCTCTTTCATTCTCCTCTTGGGATTCTAGGCACGCACGAACACATGCCTGGTTTGAGTCTTAAGCCACTGGGCCCAGGACTTGAACTGTGGTCAGCCACGCAGGAGTCTAGCAACATAGCAGTTAGGCCATCTGCTGGTCCCTGATATATAGCTTTTTGTGTCTAGCTTCATTCACTTAGCATAATGTTTCCAAAGTTCATAATTTGGCACTTTTTATTCAATAATTTTTTTTTGAGATTTACTACATGTCAGGTATTGTAGCTGTATAGCTGTGAACGAGATAGACCAGATCTTGGGGCCAGCAGGTGGCGTGGAGGTTGAGGCGCTGGACTCCCACATGACTGACCACAGTTTGGGCCCTGGACCTGGTGGCTTTCTTTCTCACTTTTCCTTTTTCTCTCTCTTGCTGTCTCTTTCTGGTAAAATTAAAAATAATAATGATGATGGTGAATAAAATAAATAACTAAAAAATAAAAAAGACCAGATTTGTGCATTTTAACCTCATGTAGTTGTCAGTGATGGTAAAACCATGTGGGATTGTGGCTGGCAGTGCCCAGTTTCGAGGAGGTGCTTCAGGGAAGGTGACACTTGAATTAGACCCAGATGATACAGACGAGCCCATCGTGTCACTGTCTGAGGGTACCATACCCCAGGAAGATCGACTAGCAGGTACAAAGGGCTCGTGGTGAAAACGGTTATGGTTGGCATCCTGCCAGGACCAGCACCTGAGTGTCGGAGCAGTCTAGGTCATGCAGGCAGGCTTGCAGGTCATCAGCATGTAAATACGTGAGAATGCGGATGGAGAAGGGGGCCAAGGAGAGAACCCTCAGAATACCAGTCCGCAGTGCTAGAAGCAGCAGCGGAGTGCATGAAGGGACTGGAAGGGGAAAGCCAGCAGAGAGGATGAGAGCGTGGGCTCAGGAGCCAAGGGAGAAGTGCTTACGGAACGGGCAGGTGGTTACGGCTGACAGGCCGCCATGAGAAGTGGAAGATGCAGGCGAAGCGGCTGTTCACGCTTGGCGCAGTGACGGTCTCGAAGGAGCGGCTAGTTGAAGTCGTGTAGTGATGGACCGAGCGAGGAGAGGTGAGGGTTAGAGGCAGAGCGTACACAGCTCTTCTAGAAGGCAGGTTGGGAAAAGAATGAACTGGGACCTAATTTGGGCTAAGAAGCACTGTAGCATGTGTAAATTCTGATGGTGATGAGTGCAGGAGGGGCCAGCCGATGGCCTAGTGGTTAAGGGTGCCGGACTCCCTCATGGCCCGACTGCAGTTCGAGTCCTGAACCTAGCGGCTTGCTTTCTCACTTTCCCTCTCCTCTCTCTCTTACACTCTGTCCTTCTCTGATCAAAATTAAATAAGTAAATTAAAAAAAAAAATAGGGACCAGCAATTGGCGTAATGGCTACGTCACTGGACTCCCATGTAGTTGACCGCAGTTCCAGTCCCGGACCCGGTGACTTAAATTCACGCCGGGCGCCTGTGCGTGTGTGCCCAAGATCCCAAGAGGAGAATGGAGAAGGGATTGCGGCATGTCCATCCCCCGGGGGGGTGATTTTTCTCTCTCTGTCTCTCTGTCTCTTTCTGGTGAGCACACGCGCCCTATAGCAAAAACCTCTCCCCCCCACCCAAAAAAAGGAAATTAATTAATTAAAATAATTCTTAAAGTTCAAAGTGAGAAAACTGTCAGTGATGCTGGGAAGTCAGTGGCCCTCGCTGTGCTCAGCTCTGAGGAGAGCACATGGAGTGCAGAATCATGGTGGGAAGATTGCCTTGGAAGGGTCTGCTCTATTGTCATGGGAGGACAAGGAGACAAAGATGTGGGTAGGCTGGTGAATGAAGTCCAGGAAGCTGACCAGTAGACTGTTTTTTAATGCAGATCACACCCACGCCTTCAGTGAAGAAGAGGATAGAGGGTTGCGGAAGCAGAGGAAAATTAAGATATGAGAGGGGAATTATTTTTCTTTTAATTTTTAAATTTATTATCATTATTCTTCAGTTTTGATTTTTTTTTTTTGAGAGTTTTTTTGCTATAAGGGCATGTGCGCTCGGCAGGACAGAGAGAGACAGAAAGTGAGAAATCACCCCCCAGGGGGATGGCCACGTTGTAATCCCTTCTCCTCCATTCTCCTCTCAGGATCTTGGGCACGCACGCACACGCACCCAGTGTGAGTTTAAGCCACCGGATCCAGGACTCAAACCATGGTCGACTACATGGGAGTCCAGTGACATAGCCATTATGCTACCTTCTGGTCCCCATTATTCTTCAGTTTTGACCAGAGAGACAGACAGAAAGGGAGAGTGAGAAAGCAAGGCACTAGGTTTGGGACTTGAACCACTGTTTGCCTTGTGGGAATACAACCCCTCAACCACCACACCACCTGCTGGCCCTGAGACAGGAATTAGTAAAAAGTGGGTCGGGAACCAGCAGTTAGCGTAATGGCTATGTCGCTGGACTCCCACGCAGTCGACCGCGGTTCGTGTCCCGGACCCGGTGACTTAAAACTCACGCCGGGCGCGTGTGCGTGCGTGCCCAAGATCCCGAGAGGAGAATGGAGGAGAAGGGATTGCGGCATGACCATCCCCCCTGGGGGGTGATTTCTCGCTTTCTGTCTCTATGTCTCTCTCTGTCTGTCTGGCGAGCGCACTCGCCCTACAGTGAAAATCTCTCAAAAAAAAAAAAAAAGTGGGTGGAGTCCCAACTTAGGAAGCACAGCTTGTAGTATTCAGGACAGCAGTGCTGGAAGCCACGTGGCCAGCCACGGTTCAGATTTCTGGGTCAGCCTGAAAACAAGCCAGGCATGCATGTGAGTACCCCAAGACCTGAGGAAGCCGAGGGCTGGGGAAGGAGCTTGTGCATGACAAGTGTTTGCCTAGGGTGCTTTCTTTATCTATTTTCTGTCTGTCTCTTACACATACATCACTACCATTAAAAAAAGAGAAAAACTCATGGAAAAATGAAACTAAGATACATGTTTATCTTAGCACACAAAATGAAATCCAGGGACCAGCAGTTAGAGTGACAGCTATGTCGCTAGACTCCTACGTAGTCAACTGTGGTTCGCGTCCCGGACCCGGTGGCTTAAAACTCACGCTGGGCGCGTGTGCATGCGTGCCCAAGATCCCAAGAGGAGAATGCAGGAGAAGGGATTGCGGCATGGCCATCCCCCCTGGGGGGTGATTTCTCGCTTTCTGTCTCTCTGTCTCTCTTGGTCTGTCTGGCGAGCGCACACTCCCTATAGCAAAAACCTCTCAAAAAAAAAAAGTTGAAATTCATGCATAGTTTTTCATAATGCACGTTTTCCACGAACTTTTTGAAGACACTCTGAGGTCACCCATAGTTGTGATGAAAACCAGAAGAGAGAATGGAACAGGGACCTTAGGTAGCATTGAGAGCCAATTAAAGTAGTTGGCTAGGAGTTCGTGGTTGCTCCTATCTGCAGCTGGATTTTCTTCATCGGCCTGTTCTGAGGTAGGGAACCCGTTTGAGGAGAGAAACTCATGTCTATTTGGACTGGAGTTTCTTGAGCGCGGGGTCCGTGTCGTAGGTATCTCCATATTCTGGGCACCTGCTGCAGGCCATGGCAAGTAGAGGCTGCTTCCTGTTGGCGAGTGAGTGAATTGTGAATTTGGAGGGGTGGTGAAAAGCATCGAAAAGATGAGCATTTGAAAATTAGCATTTAGCTTAATGTATGCCTGGTGATAGTTAGAAATGATGGCTGTTTTCTAACTGAAGAAGAAAGCTATTTAAATACTTGGTATGAGATATACTGAAATAGCTGAAGGGAAAGGGACTGAAATTCATAGTATGAATAAGAAAAGTGTTTAAGCTACTTGGTAAATGAGTATTATAATTTTAAAATGGAAGAATTTGAAGTACTTCGGGCTTTTTGCTTAATGAAGTGCTAATTCTAAAAACATTATATAATCTGCATAACTGCTAGTTTGCATTTTTAATATGGTGTAATTTAATCCTCACATCCAAAAGAGTAATGCTAAGCTTTGGCCATCTGGGATCTGAACCAGGCTCTGCCCTTCAATGCGTGCAGATCCCTGAGAGCCCAGATCACTTTCCTCTTTTCACACATAGACCCTGTTCTTCCCCAGCTTTGTAATTTTGTGAAACTCATCGGCCCCCAACTTTTAAGTGAGTGCTGTTGTTAAATGGAATGCAGTTTAAATTGATAAAACGTTTGAACTTACTGGGTGATGTTTTGTTTTTTAATCATTTTTATTTCTCCCCTTGAATGCCTACAGTGGAGCTGGGCAAGAAGTAGGAAGATCATGTATTATTCTGGAGTTCAAAGGAAGAAAAATCATGGTAATTATTATTTTGTGGTCAGATTAACAGTATGATTCTGTGTGGGGTATTAGATCTTTCTAGTAGACCGGTCATCGGTTTAGCTTTCAGAAAAACGTCGTGGTCTGTGTAAGCTACACTGCCGAATGTTAATGTAAAAACGAGCATATGCTACCACATAGGAATGTGGCAAGCATGAAGCGAATGAGGGGACTTAGTCTAGGGCTGAATCGTCAGCTAGATCTGCCGGCCTGCTGTTTCCTCAGAGTCCCCCTTCTGCTCCTGGAGGGCCTAGCCACACTGCCTGTCCACCCCAGTGAAGACCCAAGGGACTGATTGCTCCGAACATGAGTGAAGTGGGGAGCTCTTCCCTCAGCCTGTGGCTTATGGCCATCCAGGAGCTTGCACATGTGCCTTAGGGCCATTAGGACCACTGCCCTAGGACAGGTCACCTGTTTTCCTAAGCCATCTGCTGTGTGAAAGGCAGCAGGTTAGAAAAAATGGTTTTTGAGGTTCTTAGGAAGGCAGGTCAGTGGCTCGTGTTCTTCTGGTTCCTCTTTCTCCATGTCGCACAATCTTAAGAGAATAGGCAGGTGTTGCCATAGTCATCTTTTTTATCATTCATTGTGTTGGTTGGTTAGTAACTGCCTGTAGAACAAGTAAATCCTTAGTAAATTTTTCTTTAATTCCTTAAAATATCTAAGTTCCCTGATCAGAAAAGTCTCCTATTTTTTAATTAATTTATTTTTTAAGAAGTTTTTGCTGTAAGGGTATGTGCACTCGCCAGAAAGACAGAGAGACAGAAAGCGAGAAATCATCCCCCAGGGAGATGGCCACACTGCAATCCCTTTTCCTCCATTCTCCTCTCTGGATCTTGGGCATTCACGCACATGTGCCTGGCATGAGTTAAGCCACCGGGTCTGAGACTTGAACCACGGTCGACTATGTGGAAGTCCAGAGACATAACCATTGTGCCAACTCCTGGTCCCAAGAATTATTTTATTTAACTTATTTATTTTCATTTGACCAGAGGGGGACAGAGTGAGTGAGAGAGAGAGAGAGAGAGATAAAGCAAGCCACCAGGTCGCAGTCAGCTATGTGGGAGTCCAGCACCCTTAACCACCACGGTCACTTGCTGGCCCCATCTTTTTTTTTTTTTTTTTAAAGATTTAATTGTATTTATTTATTTATTCATTTTTATCTTTTAATTTTGACCAGAGAGAGACCCAAAGAATGAGAGAAAGTGAGCAAGCAGGCTACCAGGTCTGGGATTCGAACTGTGATCAGCCATGTGGGAGTCCAGCGCCTTAACCACCACACTACCTGCTAGCCCCTGAAAGTCTCCCATTTCTAATTACTGCCTTCTCAATAAAGTCAGACCTGATAATAGTAAAAGTAGGAAATTTAAAATGCCACCACCTTCTGATATTTGCCACATTTGGTAAGAAGTGTGTTCCAGGAGCTGCTGTGTGGAGTCGGTCTTGATTCTGTGGGTGACGGCTCAGTTATAATTACTGTCTATTCACCGAGTGAGCTGCAGTATGCCGCGTAGGGGAGTGTGATCTTTTGTCCTCTCTTTCAGCTGGACTGTGGGATCCACCCTGGCCTAGAAGGAATGGATGCTCTTCCTTACATTGATTTAATTGACCCAGCTGAGATTGATCTCCTGTTAATTAGTCAGTAAGTTTTTCCTTTAATAACAATACTTTTTTAATGACTTGTTGTCAAGATTATTCTTTACTAGATTTTGAGATTTTCCTTATTTAAAAGAGTACTTTCTCCTAGGAAGTGTACTGCAGCATGTAAGTGTAAGCCAGCACTTTATATCGTCAGCCCGGGCTAGAGAAGTTTACATGAAAATCTTACCTGCCTTGGGACCAGCAGGAGGCGTAGTGGTTATACCTCTGGACTCCCACATAGTTGACCACAGTATATACATGCCCAAAATCCTGAGAGGAGGATGGAGGAGAAGGGATTGCAGCATGGCCCTCTCCGCTAGGGGGTGATTTCTTACTTTCTGTCTCTCTGATGAGCACACACACCCATAGCAAAAATCTTAGAAAAAAAGAAAAAGAAAAACTTACCTACCTCCTAGGTTTAAGTCTACTGAGTAAATGGGAAGGACATGGTACATACCTTGAATCATAAAACTCAAGACCAAGAAAGCCCTTTTCCAGAATATCTCTTTGAAGTCATTGTTTTCGCACATTCTTCTGCAAGACTTTCATTTGAATTGCCAGAAGGCACATAGGCTTGCCAGAGAGAGAGGCACCCTGGTGGGACATGGTCACATTGCAGTCTGTCATCTGTCCCATCAGGATTTTGGGCACACACGCATACCTGTCTAGGGTGTTTTCAAGCTGCCGGGGCCAGGATTTGAACCATGTGGGTTCAGGCTTTCCATACACACCACTTAATCACTATGCTATGGTACCAGCCTAAGAGGCCCTCTGTTTTTTTTTTTTTAATTATCTCAGTTAGCTTCATTTATTTATTTACTTATTTTAATTTGACCAGAGAGGGACAGAGCGAGAGAATGAGAGAATGAGAGAGAAGGAAAGTGAGAAAGTGCACCACCAGGTCGGGACTCGGACCGCAGTCAGCCATGTGGGAGTCCAGGACAGCACCTTAACCACCACACCACCTGCTGACCCCAAGACCTTAATCTTTAAATAGTGGTATGTTATAATTCTGGTTGCCACACGTAGACCTGGATATATTCTTTCCTCTACTAGTCATTCATTGATAAAGTTATGTTTTGTGTTTTAAATTTTGCTAGGTGGCGCATGCACTTGCCGGAGAGAGACAGAGAACATGAGGAAGCGTCCCCCCCACCCCCATAGGAGATGGTTGTGTCACAGTCCCTTCTCCATTTCTCCTTTTGGGATTTTGGGCATGTACACACATACACCCAGTGTGGTTTTTCAAGCCACTGGGTCCAGGACTCAAACCATATCATTGGCCTTGTAGGATCCAGCCATTCTAACCACTGGCTGGCCCTGTGGCTGAAGATTTCTGCTGTTAAATGCTCTCAAGATCTCTTTCCCACACTAGAACTGCTCGTACAGTGTACTCCGTCTGCAGTGGCTGCTCCTCGTTTTCAGCAAGTGTCGGTGCATAATTTATAGGACGTTTTTGTCCGGGAAGTAATGTTGCATCATGTATGGTGTCTGGTGGGAAGAACTTAAGAATTAACAAATCTCTTCGTTTATTTTGAAGTTTTCATTTGGATCATTGTGGAGCTTTGCCCTGGTTTCTACAGAAGACGAGTTTCAAAGGAAGAACATTTATGACTCATGCCACAAAAGCTATTTATAGGTGGCTTCTTTCAGATTATGTCAAAGTTAGGTGAGTGACTTCATTCATCTACACACAACGTGGTTCTACCTGGTGTGTGTGGCTCTAAGTACGGGCTCTGTGTTTTGCAGGGAGGCACTCTCTTTATTCAAAAGGATATTAATTTAGTTATTAAGTAACGCATTATCAAATATCTATTGTGTTTTTAGCATCTTCCTGACCTTGAAGTCTTTATGTTAAAAATCTTTGTTAAACTTAGATAAGTTTTCAGGTATGACAGAAATACTCTGCAAATAGCATTTCATAATTTTGTTAAAATTCAAGACCAAGTGCATTATGCAGTGATTTGTACTAAATTCTTATTTTGGATCGTTTGACCAGAGGAAATTAATTTTGTTATATGAACAAGTTCCCAGGGGAAGTTCTCACCAGTTGTAAGAGCAATACCGACTCCTCTCCAGACAGTTTGCAGCGTTTTCCAGTGCGTACAGCACATTCTGGTTTCTCTTCAGATCGTTGTCTTTCACTTTTACCAATATGTGCCGCACAAATTATTAACCTTCAGAAGTTTATTTCGTACATGTATTCTGAAGGTCGCTAAAATGCAATTTGCTATTCTTTTTTTTTTTTTGGAGAGGTTTTCGCTATAGGGCGCGTGCACTCGCCAGAACGATCTTATTTTGGATCGTTTGACCAGAGGAAATTAATTTTGTTATATGAACAAGTTCCCAGGGGAAGTTCTCACCAGTTGTAAGAGCAATACCGACTCCTCTCCAGACAGTTTGCAGCGTTTTCCAGTGCGTACAGCACATTCTGGTTTCTCTTCAGATCGTTGTCTTTCACTTTTACCAATATGTGCCGCACAAATTATTAACCTTCAGAAGTTTATTTCGTACATGTATTCTGAAGGTCGCTAAAAATCAATTTGCTATTTTTTTTTTTTTTTTGGAGAGGTTTTCGCTATAGGGCGCGTGCACTCGCCAGACAGACAGAGACAGAAAGATAGAAAGCGAGAAATCACCCCCCGGGGGGATGGTCACGCCGCAATCCCCCCTCCTCCATTCTCCTCTCGGGATCTTGGGCACACACGCACACGTGCCCGGTGTGAGTTTTAAGCCACCGGGTCCCGGACGTGAACCGCGGTCGACTACATGGGAGTCCAGCGACATAGCCATTACGCTAACTGCTGGTTCCCCAATTTGCTATTCTTAATACAGGGGAACAGAAAGGTTCTTTTTAATGCTAATACCAGTTATCATGTAAATGATGCTTTCTGCATCCCAGTCACAACACGGGTCCTTCACAGATGTTAACCCGTTTCATCTTCACATCAACCCAGGATGTAGATGCTGTTAGAAATCTCATCTGACAGCGACGAGACTGAGGCACACGGGCTGGTAGTTTGCCCGAGATAGTCATAGTGAGAAACGGCGACGAGGGATTCCAGCCTAGACAGTCGGGCTCCAAGGGCTGTGTCCTTAACTACTCCTCCCTCTTGCTTTTTGGGTAGTATATTAACGTACATTTTAGGAGAAGAGCTACGTGAGACTTTGTATAGAGTGAGATCTCTGCCATGGCCCAGTGTATGTGAATGTGTTATCTTTTCCGGGAATGTTGGAGGACAAAAGGTTGAGAAATACTATTCTAAAAAGCACTTTGTCCTAATTTACTAAGTGTTTTACTTAGAACCCAGACCTCTTCGAACGGGGCGTCTAAATTTACTGTACACTTTGTTAAAAGTCAGGTTTTGTATCTATACACACTAAAACCCTTTTTATTATATTCACAGGGTTAAACAACACACAAAGCGCCTGGAAAGTTCTAAATAAGCATAATCCATACAGTATCTTTTTAGAAACATCTTCAGGGATATGCCTTCCATAAACAGTTTTTTTGAGTTCAAAGCCTTTTTTAAAAATCTTCCTCTAATTTTTTTGTTGGCATCTTCCAAAACGCAGTAACATATCCGCGGATGACATGCTATACACCGAGACAGACCTGGAGGAAAGCATGGACAAAATCGAGACCATCAACTTCCACGAAGTTAAAGAGGTTGCAGGAATCAAGTTCTGGTGCTACCACGCAGGCCACGTCCTCGGAGCCGCCATGTTCATGATCGAGATCGCGGGCGTGAAGGTACTCTGCCGCTGGCACTTTGTGCCCGAGAGAAATCCATGCAGGACTCCGCCTCCTAGAAGCACCTCACAGGCTTTCCTAAGACTGACAGGGTGTCCAAGCCCTGAAATAGAAGGCCAGGCTAGGTTGATACTTTTTCTTTTTAAATATCATAGTATCTACCTGAATTATAAAACTGTCTCTATTAAGACGGAGAAGACGGTAAAAGAAGCATCTGAAAGAATAAGTTCCCCAGCACATACTGGGATTAAAACTTTCCAGAGTCTTTTAGAAAGCTGCTTAGGCAGGCTGGGCCCATACCCTGGTGGTTAAGGGAGCCATATCTACATGGTCGCCTTCAGTTCAAATCCCAGCCCTGGCAGCTTGAAAAACATGCTGGGTATATGTGTGCGCATGCCCCAAATCCCAAAAGAGTGAAGAAAATATTGCGAGGGTGCTTTCTCCTTTTTTCTCTCTCTTTCTTCTCTCTCTCTTTCTGGTGAACACATGCATCCTCTGGCAATTAAAAATTAATAATAATTAGAGAAAACACAACTGGTTGGGGAAGAAATGTCTTTGTGACTGTGTCCATTTCAAATTAAAACATGAGGGACTGGCAGGTGGTATGGTGTTTAAGGCACTGGACTCCCACATGGTCGACCATGGTTGGAGTCCGAGACCTGGAGGCTTGCTTTCTCACTTTCTCTCTCTCTCTCTCTCTCTCTCTTGTCAAATTAAAAAATAATAATGATAAATAAAATTAAATACATATTCTAAAATAAATCAATAATTGTTTTTAAAAATTTAAACAGGGACCAGCAGTTAGCATAATGGTTATATTGCTGGACTTTCATGTAGTCAACCGCAGTTCGAGTCCTGGACCTGGTGGCTTAAACTCATGCCGGGCGCATGTGCGTGTGTGCCCAAGATCCCGAGAGGAGAATGGAGGAGAAGGGATTGTGGTGTGGCCATCCCCCCGGGGGGGGGGCGTGATTTCTTACTTTCTGTCTCTCTGTCTGTCTCTGTCTTTTAAGTGAGCACACGTGCCCTATAGCAAAAAACTCTCAAAAAAATTTTTTTAAATACAAGGGTCCAGCAGGCGGCATAGTTATTAAGGTGCTGGACTCCCACATGGCTGACTGTGGTTTGAGTCCCAGGCCTGGTAGCTTGCTTTCCTGCTTTCTCTTTCTCTCTCTCTGGTCAAATTAAAAAATAATAAATAAAATTAAGTAAAATAATTCTTAGAAAAAAATTAAGACATGATTTGGTATTTTTGTCCTCTTAATGTCCCCGCATTCACGAGTGTGTCCCTTAGCAGGGTGGACTGCAGGGGGAGGGAGCTCCTTACGAAGGATCTCTGCAGCTATTCATGATGGAAGTCAAACTTCCGAAAGCCTGTGTGGATTCTTGGGTTTCCAGATCAACAGTTCTGACCTCTGGCTGCATGGCAAAATCACTTAGGAAGCTTTAAAAAATACTGGGTCTCCCCTGTAGCCTAGCAGTTAGGGCAGCAGATCCCACATGATTTGAGTCCCAGACCAGGTGGCTTGAGAAACACACTGGGCACATGCACGTGCATGCCTGGAATCCTGAGGGAAGGGAGAGAGACTTGCAGGAATTGTAATGTGACCTTTCTCAGTGGGGGGTTGCTTTCTGCTCTTTCTCTCTGTCTCTGTCTCTCTGGCTAGCGCACATACTCGTTAGCAAAAAAAGCACAGATGTCAATTGAATCAAAATCTGGAGGTGTGACCTAGGCCCTTTTTAAGTTCACCAGAAGATTCTAGCATGCATTCAGAGTTGAGAGCCAATTCTTGAGTGTAATATTGGACTAAATGTTCTGCACTTTCTAATATACTTGAAACTTATACACATCAAGTCGTATAACATATCACTAATGATTTATTCCTGCAGTTTGCTCCAGGGCACAAAGAGTCAGCAAGGAAACAGCATGAGTGCAGGTCTGGGCTCTGTGTGGATGCAGCGCGTGCTGCGGCTCAGTCAGTGCTCCTGGGCACCGCAGCAGGTCCCCGTACTCAGCAGCATGTCTGCCTGTAAGATGCTTGGCACCGTGCAAGTCATTATGCAACTTCTCTTTGTGGGATGCTTCTTAAAATATATTTCCATAGTTAGATGAAATAGTTGAAATGTATGGTTTAATGACTTAAAGTTAGGCATTTTGAACTAGTCACGAGCATTGCATCTAAATTTCATAAGTTGCGGGCTTTTTATTTGTTTTAGTTTGTATTAGGTCACACATGCTTGCTGGAGAGATAGAGGGAAAGTGAGAAGTCACCCCCCAGGGGGATGACTATGCCACAATCCCTTCTCCTGCACTTTCCTCTGAGGATTTTGGGCGTGCACACACACACCTGGTATGTTTTTCAAGCTTCTGGATCTGGGCCTCAGACTGTGCAGCTGGCCATGTGGATCCAGCTACCTCAACTACCGGCAGGTCCAACTGTCGGCCATTTTTTGATGTTTTTGTTTAACTTCATGTTCAGATATCATGAGCTTAATAGATTCGCCAGCAGAACGAAGCCTACCCCAAATCCTGACTTTCTCATTTTATCTTCTTCACAGCTTTTGTACACAGGTGATTTCTCAAGACAAGAAGACAGGCACTTAATGGCAGCTGAAATTCCTAATATTAAGCCTGATATTCTCATCATTGTGAGTAGTAATGTTCTGTTTTGTAAATTTTTTTTAAAGATTTATTTAATTTTATTTATTCATTCATTTATTTTAGTTTGTCAAGAAAGAGACAGAGAAGGAGAGCGAGGGGGAGAGAGAGAGTGGGAAAGCAAGCCACCAGGTCTGGGACTCGAACCGTGGTCAGCCATATGGGAGTGTCCAGTGCCTTCACCACCCATTCCACTTGCTGGTTCCTCCTCTGTTTTGTACATTTTTTCCAGTGGAAAAAATATTGTGACCTCAATTTCATAATATCTTACTAGATATAAATGTTATCTTTCTTAGTATAGAAAATTATTTTGCGGAACCAGCAGATGGCTTAATGATTGTGTTGCTGGACTCCCACATGGCCGACTGCAGGCCCAGAGTCTTGAAACTCATGCCGGGCACATGTGCGTGTGTACCCAGGATCCCAAGAGGAGAATAGAGAAGAAGGGATTACAGCATGGCCCTACCCCTGGGGTGGGTGGTGGTTTCTCACTTTCTGTCTCTGTCTCTGTTTCTCCAGTGAGCTCACGTGCAAAAATCTCTCTTAAAACAGAAGAAAACTGATTTTGCTTCCCTATATAGTACAGCTCCACTTTCTTTCTATTAAATTCATCATCTCTAGTCTAATATCAGATATGTGGGCTTGCTGAAGGCAGGCGCTTATACTGGGTATGCTCCCTTCCTGTCTTCTAAATGTTTTTGTCTAAGCGTGTTTTCCCCAGTGTGTAGAGAAACATCGTCAAGGCTGTTTGGGAAATGGAGTGGCCCACTGCCTTGCCGTAGTGACCGTCTACGTGCATGCTGACTTGTCATGCTATCTTTGTTCCCCACTCCGTCTACTAGTTTGCAAGTCCCTGGGTAGTAGGAGACCTGAGCTATGTACTGAAGCTGTTTCTGGAGGGGCTGGGATATGCACATTAGTAAGTGTGAGTCGGTGGCAGTGGTGTCAGGGATGGTGAGAGGCCTTTTGGGCCTGTGCCCTGTCTAGGAACATCCCCACAACCCCCAGCACCCCAGCTGCCCGATTCGGAGGGCCAGTGCTCGTCGCTGTCTGTAAGCAACGAGCTGTGAGTAGTATAGATGACTCAGCTCACTGGAGGCCCAGCATGTGAGCTGACCGTAGTTTAACGAAAAATTTGTTTTGTTTTAAATTTTTTTAAGTTTGCTATAGGGTGCATGCACTAGCCAGAGAGTGAGACGGGGCGGGGGGGAGTGAGAGAGCGCCTCCAAGGAGGATGGCCATCCAACAGTCCCTTCTCCATTCTCCTCGCAGGATTTTGGGCATGCATGTACACAATTCTGATGTGTTTTTCAAGCCTCCGGGTCTGGGACTTGAACCACACAGCCAGCCATGTTAAGCACCACACCATCTGACTGGCCCAGATTTGCTTTTTTTATTTAACTTTATGTATTTATTTTAATTTGACCAGCGAGAGAGAAAGTGAAAAAGCAAGCTGCTAGGTCCGGGATTTGACCTGTAGTCAACCATGTGGGAGTCCAGCACCCTTAACCACCATGCCACCTGCTGGCCCCCAGATTTGTTTTTTTTAACCTTCAGAAAAAATAGAAATGGTATCTGGCACTTTACACAGTTGCTGACGAGTTGTCTGGTGTTAAATGCAGATTCTGGGGCCTGAGATTTTGTATTCTGGCCCACGCCCGGGGGTGCTGATGCTGCTGGTCAGTTCACCATACTCAGTAAGACTGTAAGGGGTATTTTAAACAGAATTGTAAGACGTAGGATCTATTTCTGGTTTTAAACCTTTGACTTAAAGAGGTGGGAGAAATAACCTATCCCCACCCCCAACCATGGAAAGCAAAATGGTTTAAAAGAAGTCAGGGGCAAAAATACATTTTGGGACTATTTCCCAATTCCTTTTTTTTTTTGAAGAGCAATTTTTGCTATTGGGCGCTTGCGCTTGCCAGAGAGACAGAAGGTGAGAAATTATCCCCCAGGGTAGATGGCCACACTGCAATCCCTTCTCCTCCATTCTCTTCTCGGGGTCATGGGCACTGGTGTAAGCTTTAAGCCTCCAGGTCCACTCCAACCGTGGTCGGCTCCTAGGAGTCCAGCAGCATAACCGTTGCGCCATCTGCTGGTGTCCCTGACCCCGTCTTCTCAAAGGTCCTGGCTCCTTAGAGCTGAGTTCGAGTCCTGGCTCTCTCTTCTTTCCCATTTCTACTATAACCATGTGTGTCCCCGTGAATGGCATGCTGACAGACAAATGAACTGCTTTGCTTCTGCATTGATCAGTTTTAAACTTTGACTTATTTGGGGATCATTGGTTCTGGTCTCACTCTTCTAATGCGTCATTCAGGAGTCTACGTATGGGACCCACATCCATGAGAAACGGGAAGAGCGAGAGGCAAGGTTCTGTAACACCGTCCACGATATCGTGAACAGAGGGGGCCGAGGGCTCATCCCTGTCTTCGCGCTCGGAAGGGCCCAGGAGCTGCTCCTGATCCTAGGTATGCCGTCTCCCTGCTGTCGGGAGGAGGATCAGAGTCTTACGTGGTTTCACCCAGATATTAACGTGGCCTAGGATTCGTCATCCCACTTCCTGGACTGCAGCTTCTTCATGTGAAATAGGGGTTAGGTGCAGGTTGGAGACCAGGGAAACAGCTGCTGTTGGGAATGGAAGGTGCATGTCTTTCTGGTTGTCATTAGCATCAGAAGTCTTGGCAGCAGTGTGAAAAAACTTAAAATACACATACGCGAGCTCTTTAACCCGCAGTTCTACTTCTGATAAATAAATGCGACTTCTGGGCAGCGTCGCTAGGCCACAGTGGTGCAGTAGTCAACTGTTACCCTGCGGTGTTGACCCACATGGGAGGTCTCAGGTTCGCACCCAGAGTCCTCCCTGAGTGTGTCAGACACGTGTACAGCCATGCTCCATGGCTGACTGAGGGTGGAGTAGATGCCGTCCCTTTCTCTCTGTCTCTCTCACTTATAGAAGAAATAAGCTAAGTTTTAAAAACTTTAAAGAAAAGGAAAAGAAACTTTGGTCAGTAAAGGTATTCCTCATTTTAGTACTTTTAAAGGCTCATCATGTCAGTAAATACCATATTGGTAGGGGAAAAAATGATGTTGCAGATGGTTACATACTTATTACATACTTTCACTTAATATGCTTTTAATTTTTTAAATAATTATTTAATTTTATTTATCATTATTATTATTTTGTTAATTCACCAAAGAGAAAGGGAAAGTGAGAAAGCAAGCCTCCAGATCCAGGACTCGAACCATGGTTGGCCATGTGGAAGTCTAGTGCCTTAACTACCATGACACCTGTTGGCCCCTCATGTAATATATTAAGTGGGCCAAAAAAGTAAGGTTCAGAACTATATGTATTCTGGTCCCATTAGGTAAAAAAAAAAAAAGAAACTTAAATGACTGGAAACATTCACCCTGGATGGTGGGGAAGTGGATTTGGGGGGTTTTTTCTGCCCTTCTGTATCTTCCAAATAGTTCAGTGATCATGTGCGGTGTTTTTTGTTTTTTTCTTTTTTTTGGAATGAGAGGAACAAAGGATGTCACTTTTAACGTTTGTACTTAGTGATCCTTTCCAGCTCCAACCTTCTGTGATTCTGTTGGGAAAAGCATTCTCCTGAAAGAACGTGACAGGCGGCTCGGGCGTAGGCGGGCATGCCGTGAGAACCAGAGATGGCTGGATGTGAGCTCTTGCTCCCGATATGCCACCTCGGTGACGCCGAGGGGAGACAGTACCCGCTAAACTGAAAAGAAAAGCAAGCAAGGGAAGATGGCATCAATGACTCCCGGTCAAAGCGAAGCTGTAACAGAGGCAGCACTTTCTAGAAGCTAAACTGGAGTTTCTTTGTTTAGATTTTTGCCATAGGATGCATATGGTCACTAGAGAGAGACCAGGCGGAGGAAGAGAAGGAAAGTGAGAAATCACCCCCAGGGGGGGAATGGCCACACCGCAGTCCCTTCTCCTCCAGTCTCCTTGGGATTTGGGGCATGCATGCACACAACCCGGCATGATTCAAGCTACCAGTCCAGGACTCGAACCACAGTCAGCCACGTGGGAGTCCAGTACGCCAACAACCATGCCACCTCTGGCCCTCTTATGTATTCTTATACTGAACATCTTCTGTCGTTTATCCAGTTTGCGTTTTAGTGGGCACTGGTATTTTGCCTGGCAGTCCTGCCATCTGCGTGTGTGCTCTGATTCCTTTTATAAACCAGGACTGCTCTGGTAGGGGCTGCCCTTCTCCCTTACGCTCTCCCAGGATGTATCCACAGTATAACAGGAGGAACACAGCCAGCCCACTCACTCATTTCAGATCTCACCTACGTTCTAGCTGTGCAACCTTGGGCAAGTTTTTATTTTTTTTTTTTAAACTCAAAATTTATTCACAAAAATACATGCAGGGAAACCCAGGAGGTTGATATGTGGTCTGGGGTGTGACCTGTGCGGTGTGTGAGAACTCACACGAGGAAGCCAGGTGCCGTGGCTGTAGCCTGAGCTGTTCAGGAGGCTGATATGTGGTCTGGAGTGTGGCCTGCGCTGTGTGTGAGAACTCACACGAGGAAGCCAGGCGCCGTGGCTGTAGTCTGAGCTGCTCAGGAGGCTGAGGCAGGGGATTGCAACATCGCGAAAAAAGGAAAAAGGAAAAAACAGTGCACATGTTGAAAGCTGGGACACCATAAAAATTGTAATTACATCTAAAAAATATTGGGCCAGCTCTTGGCGTAGTGGATAAGGGAACTGGATCTCACATGACTGACCGCAGTTCAAATCCTGGCCCCAGCAGCTTGAAAAACACTGAGCGTGTGTGCACAGTATCCTGGAGGATGGAGAAGAGGCGAGACAGGTATGACAGTGGCCCATTCGGGGCTATGTCTGTCCCTGTCCTGTCTCTCTATCTCTGGCAAGTGTGCATGCCCTCTGGTGATCATGAATAAATAAATAATATAAAATTAAAAACACAAACAGAGTTAACCAGAAGACAAAGAAGGAAATACATTGTACTAGGCACAGCAGAGAAAGTCTCTGGGGCCAGCCAGTGGTGTGATGGTTAAGGTGGCTGGATCCCATGTGCACGCATGCCCAAAACCTCAGGCGGAGAATGGAAGAGAAGGGAATGCAGGATGGCCATCCCCC